GCAGTTTAGGACCGATTTAAAACTATCAGAGATATTTGACCAATTTATTCATGACCTTAGATTTGATGAAACAACTTCAGCGGTCGAGTATATTTATTTGATCGTTTTAAAATAGTTTTAGACTGCTGCAAAAGCAAATTTAATACTGCCGTCGATGTGACATTTGCATTTCAAAAATTGATATACAGTTCTATCAATATCTATATGAACAAAAAACTACCGAATCTGCACGATCGAAGACTATAAAACACATGAGTAAAAAATCGCTTTATTACGGCCTTAAATAGATACTTACACCATAAAGGAGGTAAGTATTATTTACCAGGGACGATTTTGCGCTCGAGCGGAACGAGTGCTGGCAATAGAGTCCGAGACTAGTAAATTATACTTAACTGCTGCGTGGTGTATAACATTTTATCTGCTTCCACAGTTCTTTATGGTTCATGAAATAAAGATTAGGTTTTATTTTTTGACATTTCTTCATCAATTCATTTTGACATTATTCGAAAACCTGAAAGTCGCCTTGGTTGTTTGGATTTTGTCCTTTCTAAGGTGTTTACAGACAAAGCTACATAAAAGGTGTAATTTTGCTTGTTTTGAATTATTATTTCTAAATGAGTGATTTTCAAATAGAAAGTGCAGCAAATGCGGCCTGCGAATTTTTATTGCCTGAGAACTTGAAAGTGCGCTACGGACGAGCATATAGAAATTCCAAAGAATGGTGCCAGAACAAAAATACTGATGGTGTTTCTGAAATGTCACTGTTAGCATATTTCATAGAGAAGTCAAGAACTTTAAAGTCATTTAGTGGAGTTTGTGGATCAATGATTAAGTTAACTATTTTCATATAGGAGAGCGTGGATATATCAAAATACCTCAAGCTGAGAGCATTTTTGGAACGTAAGAATGACATCTATACATCTAAAAAGTCAAACTTTTTTACAAGAGAACAAGTCAACGATTCTCTCGTTCAGGCAACCGATAACACGTATTTGCTAATAAAGGTAGTGACGGTAGTTGCAGGAGCATGCCGTTCTGATGAGTTATGCAAACTTACTTTGGACATCAATTTCAAAAATTTCGATGACATTATTGTAGTTGCAATTCCGGATTCTAAAAATGGTATGTCACGTACAATTACTACTCGTCTACTACTTAAGAATTTCTGTTTCTCAACTAGAAATTCTTAAGAAATATATTAAGATTACATTGGAAACTGAACTTTCTTTATGCACTATCAAGCAGGTAGATGTTACAACCAATCAGTCGGCAAGAATACCCTATGATTTCTAATAAGATTGCACAGTTTTTGAAACTAGAACAGGCCATTCATTCCGAAGAACATCGGCAACGTTACTGGTTAATACAGGAGTGCAAAGTTATGTTGCTGAGAGTTTAAGTAAAAAAATTAAATAAACAGAATTATTTACAATGACACTTCAATTCCAGGTTCTAGTAGTACGTCCCATCATGCTGTTTTAATGGATCAGTAAGATAATATTGAGCCTCCGGTGAATGAAATGGAGCGGTCAAATCATTTTGAGAAAAATGTGACAATTAGTAAACGCGAAGGGAATAATTATCCAGAATTTATAAATGTTACTAAATGTAATTACAATTAATATAAATATTCATTCATAATAATTAATAAAATGTAATGTTCATCAAATATTTCTATTTATTTGTTCATAACTCGAAATCGCGTTTTTCCCTAGGGAGGTAAGTTACCTCACTTACCTCCCGTTGTCCAAAGCAACTTCCACTTCTACGGTAAACTCCACTTATAGTCCAGTTGGTAGAGCTTCGGCGTGTGTCAAACCTTGATAACCCGGAAATAACTACACAGGTCTACTTTAAATGATGAGTACAATAACAGGCTAATTTGCTGACAAAGTATTTTATCAGGGAAAAAAGTTATTAACAATTTAATCGTGAAAAAAATTTTTTGTAGTTTTCTTTAAATAACTCAGCGGGATGACTTTGTACGAAAAAATGCTTATGACATGATTTTGTTCGTAATAAAAATAGCTACAAAATGGCGGTGGTCCGATTACGAAATTTGCAATAACAAAGCCGTGAGATTGAAAA